ATCACGTTTCGTTATACGAAATTTACTAAAAAGTTAATTTCCGAAATCTTTCGTAACTTTCTTTTAATAACAATTCCAATTAGTAAGGGTTAATAACATTATTTAGACTTAAACTTGGTAGCCTTTTAGTGTGCCTGTCATTTGAAAATCAAGCCTCCGAAACAACCTGAATCGCATGATACACAATAACCCTTTGTCTTGTTGTCATTGCACGCTATTTCCTATTTGCATGCATTAGCAAAGGGAATATAGGTACTTGAATCTTTGCAAAATGCTGAAGTTGTACCTACTGATTTTTGATAAACAAGACAACACCAACATTGCAAATCACCGATCAATTAGTCTCCTATCACATCAGTATAAGCTCCTAGCAAATCGCCTCATAAATAAATTAGATTTCTACGAACCAAGAGCAAGCAGGTATCTGCTCATGAAGACACAGGTAAGATCAAAATAGAAAAAGAGTAGGTACGCCAGGGTAACACCATCTCTCCTTAATTATTCACCTACCAGATAACACTTTCAAACAAATATATTGGGGAAATCGTCGATGATATTGTCGCCATTAGCAGTGATATATCAATGAATTGAGAACTATGCTTGAGGAGTAACAGTGGACTTCAAAGCAAATCGGATCATAGCCATATATAGTAACGCTCTCGAACATCTGGATCACCTATACCTTGGTCATTTTATAAAAATAGGTGAACGGAACCAAATCTCCGAAATATCTACAATATCAAGATTGAGCTGTACTGCATTTGAAAGACTGGGATACATCCGTAAATCTCAGGGCAACAACCTCAAACGTAAAGTTTACGAAACTTGCATTCTGCCGGTTGTATCTTATGGACTAGAGACGGGTGATTCTAACGAGGGCGTCAGGATAACTCAGATAGGAATGGATCGTGCTATGTTGCTAGCCTAGAAGTTCATATCAGAAACGAAACGAGATGATACGGAGCAGAACAAACACAAAGTCTTTGTGTTTCATTCTCTTCTTTTTCGTTAGCTTCTAGCTGCTTAAAATACGAGGCTTAGGAGGCAAAAGGCGTAGATGCTTATCTGAGATGTTATTTTGTTTGGGTTAGTTTTGATTTTAATGTTAAACCAATATTAGGATTACCATCTTGTAATAGGTTGAAAATAATTAAAAACACTGGAAGTGTGCAAAAGGTCAGTCAGAATATTGATTTTAATTCAAATATAAATAAGGAAATAATTATTGGATATAGTGATGTTTTTGAGGGCATAGGCACTTTTTCAGATACTTGTAAAATTGAACTAAAAGAAAACAGTATACCAGTGGCTAGACCTGCTCGTCGGGTTCCTTTAGCTATTAAAGATAGATTAATACAAAAAATAGATAAATTAGAGCAGCAGGAAGTTATAAAGAAATTAGATAATGCTAATGAGTGTGTTAATAACCTGGTTATAATTGTAGAAAAACCAGATAAATCCTCAAGACCATGTTTGGATCCACAGAAAAAAGACAATATTTTGAAATTCCAAGCTTGGAAGATATTAGTGCTGAGTTAAGTTGTTAGGAAAAAATTGTCTTTCTGTACTTGATTTTAAAGATGGGTTTTATCAAGTGAAGCTTGATAAGGAGTTTAGTTCTTTACCATCATTTTCTACTCCATTTGGTTTTTTTGAGATTACCGTTAGGCTTAAATTTGGCACCAGAGAATACATTGTAAAAATTTTGAGGATATTGAAAATGTAATCATATATTTTGATGAGTTACTGGTAGCTTGTAACACTATGGAGGAACATGATAAGACATTGAGGAAGGTGTTACAGAGAGCATGAGAAAAGAGTGTGAGATTTAAGAAAAACAAGTTGCAATTGAAAAAGTGTGAGGTGAAATGCACGGGGCATATCTTCAATAGTGAGGGTATGAAAGTAGATAATGATAAAATTAAGGCCATCAATGATCTTAAAGCACCATCCAATAAGAAAGAATTGCAGATACTGCTTGGTTTGGTAAATTATGTTAGAAAGTTTATGCCGAATTTAGGGGAAATTGTAAATCCACTTTGTCAGCTACTTAAGAAAGAAATTGTGTTTCAGTGGTTAGACGTACATAATAATGCTCTTGAAGATATCAAATTTGCATTGAATTAAAATATTACATTAAAAACTTTGACTACAAAAAAGATATTGTTATACAAACAGATGCATCACAACATGGACTTGGATGTGGCCTAATGCAAGATGGTAAACCAGTAGCATTTGCATCGAGAGACTTGACAGTAGAAACTGAAACAAACTTTGCAATTATTGAAAAAGAACTGCTAGGAATTGTGTATGCTTGTCAAAAATTTAATAATTTTATTTATGGCCGCCCTGTTAAAATTATTACTGATCACAAACCGAATGTATAAGTGTTATGAACAAGCAGATATCCTCAATAAACTCGCCCCGATTACAGAGGTTGAAGTTAAAATTGTTGAGATATGATTTACAAGTTTGTTATCAGGGCGATATTTACGTATTTGTATTGCAGATTATTTATCCGGAAATGTAAGTAATGAAATGGCGGAATATGATGAAGATATGAAAGAAATGGTACATTCAATTGAGAAATATTTACGAATGAGTGAAAGAAGAAAACAACAGTTTAGAAAAGAAATCAAAGGATGAAGTGAAGAGTGAAGTTATTGAATGTTGTTTGAATGGTTGGAAAAATAAAAAATATGAAGGAGAACTGGGAATTTTTTACAACTTCAGAGTTGATATACACTATGCACTTCCGAACTCATGTTTATGGGAACTTTTTTATTTTAATATTGTAAGGAATCACATCCTGAAGTTACGAACCGTACTCGGGAAACACCCTGTACATTTTTCTATTTTTTGACCACCCTGTACATGCTATTTCAAGTTTTAGTAGTTTAATATTATTTTTTCGAGAAGCAGAAACTTTTATAAAGAATAGATTTTTTTCGTAAAATTGATAATAAAAAAGTTTTCCATATGCTGCGAACTTAGTGGACACACTGTATATCAAAATAACAATCTCATTTTTTATAATGACAGGGTGGTGGTTTCTCAATTATTGTGTAAAAATATGCTAAAAGTACTACATGAAGGTCATTTTCGCATAACTCGTGGAAGAGATAGGGCACGGAGTGTATTATTCTGGCCTGGAATGAGCATAGATATTGATAAGGAAATTCGGCAGTGTCAGTTGTGTGGCAGATATAGATATGCTAATGTAAAAGAACCACTCATATCACATGATATTCCTGTGTTACCTTTCCAAAAGTTAGGTTGTGACATCATGGACTATGGAGAAAAATCATATTAAGTAATTTTAGATTATTTAACTAAGTGGTTAGAAATTATGTTTTTAGAAGGAAAATAGTTTTGCCATGTTATTAGTGTCTTGTAACAAATATTTGCGACACATGGAATACTTATGTTATAGATTCAGATAATATGCCTTTTAATTCGTATGAATGTAAATGTTTCGCGAATGAATTTGACTTTAAATTTCAGACAAGTAGCCCTAGATATCCGCGATCGAATGGACTTGCTGAAAGATTTGTGCAAACAGCTAAAAACATTATTCGGAAATCAGATGATTTGTGGGTTGCTTTGATGGAGTATCGTAACACGCCTATGAAAAATCCCAAAAAGTCTCCTGCTGAACTCTTGTTTTCTAGGAAATTAAAAACTAAGTTACCTTTGCTTGAAGAACCCAGTTTTAAAATTAAACAATTCAAGAATCAATTAGAATATTGAGATAAATTATATGAAAAGTATTATGATAAACATTCTAAGGAAAGGCCAGACTTTAAGGAAGGTGAAAATGTTGTGTAAAGGGATGTAAATCAGTGGCGTCCTGCAACTATACTATCCAAGCATGAAGCCCCAAGATTTTATTTGATCAATAATGTTTCTAATGTTTTTTTGAGGCGAAATAGTAATCATTTACGCAGCTCAGAAATTCAACATGATTTATCAAGTTAGTAGACAAAGTAATCGGTTATTCTGGTTCAGAGCACACTACACTATCTAAATATGAATCTCCCAATTTTGGAACTGATAATGATGGTATTGTTGCAGAGACCCGTATCATTGAGAATACTGGGGCAAAGAACTTTAACAGTGGCTCACCAGGTGAGAATCAGAGATATACCTACAAGGTCCAATCGTAGTATTAAGAAACCCTCTAGGTTTACTGATTATGTTATGTATTGATAATATTCGCATTGTTAGTATTCAATCTTAATGTATTTCCATAAATCCGTAAAGGGTAAGATGTTTGATGTAGTAATAGTCATTAACGTTATTGTCAGTTGACAGTTGTCATAATAGTTACTTACATAACAAGTGTGTTTATGAACATTATTACAATAACGAGTGTGAAAGATAAGAACGACGAGGTCGTAGACCGAGTCGTTCTAATCACACGAGTTTTGTAGTCATGTTTAAGCGCACGTGTGCTGTACAACGTTTTATCTACAAAGCGAAAAATAATAATGTTTTTTCAATTATTTACGTTTATTAGTAGTTGTCTACCTTCATTTCATCTTTACAGGTCTAATATTTTTCAAATCACCAAAAATAGTTGTGTTTAGATTCATAACCTAGTCCATAACACCACTAGTTGTGTTATGAGTCTCGTGAAATAACTCAAATACTAGAAAAACCAAACTTTTGTAGATACAAATATAAAAACTATTTAGTAACAAGTTTTCATGATTTAGAAAATATCTATAATAATACAGGCGCCATCCAGAAGTTGAGACAAAAAATAAAAATAAAAGAAAATAATAACAAGATCGAAAACAGGAAATAAAAGCTGTTTTTGTGTTTGTTTAGTGACTTTTGCCGCACTTGTTTGGTTCATAACCGTTAAATACCTAGGTCATATTTGTAAAGTTTGGCAACGTGACAAATTTTCCTACTATTCTTTAATTGGTAGTTTACGATAGCTTGAGAAGAGAGTTTTTAATTTATGAAAAAATTTGAAGCATATCAAAACTTACTCGGAGCATACTTCCTGCGTCAAGATAAACGACGACGGCGGCGTCGTCCTGGTGCTGCGATACGGGTAGGGGCGGACGCGGCGGCGGCACAACTGGATCAGCGTCGCGGACGTCGGTTCGCGGAGGAATGAGCGCCGTTTCCGGCATGTAAACCGGACATCGCGATCCGGCCGGAAGATGGCGCAGCGAACGCATGATCGAAATTCGGTGATTGGTTAGATTCGTAGTGATATAACAAATTTAATAATTGAAATTGTTTCTGGGTAACCTATTTTTGGGTTACTTAGTTTTTGGGGATTCTTATCTGTCTGAATATTGGTTTCACATGCGAAAATGATATTTTGATTTAAATGAGTTTCAAACATTGACAAAGAAATTTGAGGATTTATTGTTGCAAGTCCAGTCATTTTTTATTAATTGCTTTTTTATGGGGTGTGGTATAAAGCATGCCCTATGCAGGTGTGATTAGCAGAATTTCAAATTTTAATGAGACTTATCACTATGTAAAATCTACCCTAAATTGGTGCATTAGCACGCATACCTGACCAACAACCAACAACCCTATATTCAGTTCGCGGAAATGAAAGTAACCCTATGACACAAATGCATTTTAAATTAATTTGTTCTTGTTAGAATGCAATTTTTTCCACGAGAAAGGGAGAGAGTTAAGCTCCTTATTTTTTCATCGTCAAATCGACTGACTTGATTTTTTAGAACTGAAATATCAAAGTCTACCAAACTCCATGGATTTCCATGTCTAGTTTCTTTCTATTCATGCTTTACGAATCTTACATGTTAGCGCTTCGCTCTATCCTTATTAGGATAATACTATAATACATAATAACATCAACCATATTGTCTCTGGAAATTTTCAATGTGCAATAAAAATAATGGATTTTCTGATAGTTGCCTATACCCTGTAAGGTGATCTTTTGTTTAATAATAAAAAGGTTCTGACGAGCCAATGGTATTGTCAATTTTATATACCTATTAAAAAAATGGTAACAAGTACTGTTAGCCAAATACCTACAATCCAGAAGTTTAGTTTTGATAAAGATGACTGGACGAAGTAGATAACATACTATGACAGATACAGAATAGTTACAGAATTAAATAGAGCTTCACAAAAATTGCACATCACAAATCTATTATTGCACATGGGACCTGAAGTTGATAGACTATTGGAACAATTGGCCAAACCAGAGAGTGTTTTAGAAACATACAAAGGAACCAAAGAAATGTTTGATCAACATTCTAAAATCAAAAATAATATAATTTATGAACGAGCTAAATTCAACCTCAGACATCAACATGAAGATGAGAGTGCGTTGGAATACATAGAAGTTTCTAGAAAATTATCGAAATCTTGTAGTTATGGTAAATTAACAGATGAATAATTTACCAGAGATAGACTGGTATATTAGATCACAAATTATCAGAGCAGCTACTACTGGATGATAAATTGGGTCTCAAGAAAGCTATAGATAACATTAAGCAATCAGAATTAATCCGAGAACAAACTTAAGATATAAGAAGTAAAATCGCAGGTATCTGTAATATAGATTATAGTTTACATTACAAGTGCGTTTATGAACATGATTACAATAACGACTGTGTAGTCATGTTTAAACGCACGTGTGATGTACAACGTTTTATCTACAAAGCGAAAAATAAGAATATTTTTCCAATTATTTTCGTTCATTAATAGTTGTCTACCTTCATTTTACCTTTACAGGTTTACCTTTGACATTTGTCAAATCACCAAAAATAGTTGTGTTATAGACTCATAACCTCGTCCATAACACCACTAGTGTTATGAATTCATAACCTAGTCTATAACACCAATAGTTGTGTTATGAGTATCATGACGTAACTCAAAGTACTAGAAAAATGGTTATGTAAAAACGTCATAACCAAACGCTTGTAGATAAACGTTATATAACCAAACGCTTGTAGATAAAATAAAAAAGACGCACCTATGCAAATAAAATGGATAGAAGTTCATAGTCAAGGAAACCATTTATACAAATTACTAGATGTTTTAGATGTGGAAATTCACCTCGTGCATATAAAAACTGCCCTGCAAATAGAGAAATACGTACAAAATGTAAAGTTAAAGGTCATTATTCCAAAATGTGTAGCTCAGTTTGTTAAAAGTGTAGAAGTTGTCAGCACTGGATAATGAAAGCGATGAATTATTAAATGAGGAATTACCTGAAAATGCTGAGACAGAATCTTCATATGAGTCAAACATTGCAAAAATTAAAAATATATCGCATGTTTCAAAACCATGGACAGTAAATTTAAATATTTTTAATAAGGGTGTATGTTTTAAAATTGATTCGGGTGCAGATGAAACTGTGATAACTATTAAAACTTACAGGAATCTTGAGAAAAACAAAGATATAAATTTCAAGCCAACAGAAACACAGTGAATGGGTCCAGGTGATTCAGAATTAAAAGTAAAAGGTGTAATTAAATTGCCACTTATATACAGGGTGTCCCACGGTGGATGGCGTATTAGACGTTTATGGAGAACTAAAAAGCGGATCATTTTGAAAATTTGGCAACCGGGATAAACGACCATGATCTACACTTTAAAAATATTTTTGACCATACGGTGTTGCCGCTTCTACTCTAAACTAGTGGCAACATCACTATTTTAAATGGAACACCCCGTATGTGATTGCATATTTGGATTCTACGTAAAATTCTGAGCAGATTTCATGTGATATACCCTATACCTAAGTTCAACTGTTTTGGAAATATTGACAGTTGAAAATTGACTTTTTGCAACTTTGACAGGCTGTAAAACCTGAACGGTTAATTTTAGAGGAAAACCGATTTTACATTCCTACCTCAGACTTTTATAAACTATCATTTGACACCAACTTTGAATTAAATCCATGATTAAAAATTCGAGTTAAATTTAATCTCCGGTTAAGTTCAAAGTTGGTGTCAAATGATAGTTTATCAAAATCTAAGATAGGAATGTGAAATCGGTTTTCCTCTAAAATTAACCAATTAGGTGTCACAGCCTGTCAAAGTTGCAAAAAGTCAATTTTCAACTGTCAATATTTCCGAAACAGTTGAACTTAGATATAGGGTATATCACATGAAATCTGCTCAGAATTTTACGTAGAATCCAAATATGCAATCACATACAGGGTGTTCTATTTAAAATAGCGATGTTGCCACTAGTTTAGAGTAGAAGCGGCAACACCGCATGGTCAAAAATATTTTTAAAGTGTAGATCATGGTCGTTTATCCCGGTTGCCAAATTTTCAAAATGATCCGCTTTTTAGTTCTCTATAAACGTCTAATACGCCATCCACCGTGGGACACCCTGTATAATGGTGTTAAAAGGCGTCAAAATGTTTATCGTGAGAACCAGTGAGAATTAAAGGTCGTCCAGCTATTGAAAAATTAAAAATGATGCAGTTGGCTGTATAAAATGTCTATCAAGTAATTAATAAAAATGAGAATAAAAATTTACTAATCAAATCGGATTTAAAAGAAAAATATGGTTAAGTTTTTACTGGACTTGGCAAGTTGAAAGATTTTGAGAGAATAATAGCTTTGAACGAAAAGAATAAAATCTTGCCTGAATTAATTTTGGACAATCTATAGGAAGAGAGTTAATGCTTTGGATCAAGAAACATCGCTTTTGGACCTATTCAAAAGCGCGAATCTTTTGACTGAAAGTCATATTCATTTCGTTAAAGAAATCCATTTTTTCAGTGCGGGGATAATACCACGAGAGATTCAAAATTATCTGGTTAATTTTAAAGCTCAAGTGATATTTAGAGGATTATTTCACGTATGAGGATGCAAAAAATATGGAAATAAATATGTATTAAACGATTTGAACATCTTAACAATCAATACAAATAAATGGTTGCTATCAGGAACCGTTTGTTTGTATCAAAAATTAGCATGACAACCATGTATACAATAACATGGGAGAATTATCCTGTAATTATCTCTAGTTAAATCAATGGAGAAGAGAATTTTCGCTGTAATTCTGAAAATCGTCACTTGTCTTATGGGATTTCTAATACATGAGTGGAATAATCTATCAAATTAAAAGAAAATTTTGAACCAGTGATAGTACAAACACCCAGACGCGTACCATTGCCTTTACTGGAGACTGTACGGTTAGAGCTTAATGATATGGTAAAAAAAGGTGTTATCAAGGAAATCAACGAAGCTACAAAATGATGTTCCCAGATGGCGAGAGTTAAAAAAATTCAATGGAGTAAGAATTCGCACGGATTTTATTGAATAAAATAAGTTTGTTGTCAGAGAAACATTTGTTTTGCCAACTGTAGAAGAAACAACAGCACAGTTGAGGGATGCTATTTTTTTTCCAAAAATATACTACATTTATAACATCATTCGGCAGATTTGTTTATAAAAGATTACCTTCCGGCATTTCCAGTGCTCCAGAAATTTTTCAGAATACTTTAAAGAATATATTTATACAAGAAGGCTAAAATGCTGTCCTTGTTCATGCGGGTGATATTTGGGTTAAAGGATGTACCATTTCTGATCATAATAAAAGTTTACAGAAAGTTATGACAATACCCTCGATTTAAGGCCAGATAATTCAAGTATAAAAGCTATCATAAACTATGTTGTACCAATAAATAAAACAGCAGTAAGAAGGTTTTTGGGAATGTATACATATTTTTCAAAATTTATTAAAGATGCATCTTCAAAGTCGAAAGTTTTGAGAGAATTACTACACGAAAAAAAAAATGTTTTGTTTGGAATGAAAATCATAAAAAAAGCTTTGAAAATCTAAAACAGATAATTATTTCAGCACCAGTTCTTGCTAATTATCAGACTAATTTTCCTAACAGAAAAAGTGCAGACGCTAGTGCTTATGGGATTGGAGGAATGTTGGAACAACAACAAGAAAATGTATTATGGAGACCTGTATAATTTTGTTGGAAATCTTTAAGTGATGCAGAAGGAAAAGAAGATATGTACAAATTGAAAAAGAAATATTATCATTAACCTGGACAACGGAGAGGTTAGAACGATTTTTGTTTGGAAAAAAATTTATTATAAGGACTGATCACAAACCTTTGGTAAGAATACTTGAAGATAAGCCAATTGGCCAATTAACAACTAGATTACAAAGTTTTTCTATGCGTCTTATGAAGTATAAATACGATGTAGAGTATGTT